GCACATTATTGACAATATTGAGCTGAAGCTAAACTGTGCAAAGTTAAAATCGCAAATCAAATCGCAATCGCAATATGTAAAAAAAAAATCGCAATTTGATATTTTCCCCCAAATCGCACAGCCCTAATTTCTAGGCTCTGAATCTCCGAGTGGATGATTTTATGTTCATGTTCTCTTTGTGTAGTTGTTCATCGGAGTGTTTGAGAAGCTCAAGGCTGCATAGAATAATGGCTGTAACGAGGACACGGTTATTAATTATCCTCTCATACCTGAGAATGATGACAATAACCAGCACATTTTCAGAAATAAAAGCCCACGGTTCATTATTCTGCTGCGATGATGAAGCCTGAAGAACAGAAGCTCTGGATTCATGAATAATACTGTACTTCACAGCTGTATGTGCTGTTAAATAACATAAATGAGCGTCACGGTGCTGTGAATGTCAGTAATGACTGATGAAGGTCAGAGCAATAAAACTGTTACAGGTAATTGGATGCATTTGCTTTGATATTGTAGATGATGAATGCTGTCAGATGAGTTGAGATTGTGCTGCTGGATTGATAGATGTGATCGTCAGTGTGGTTAGTTCTAGTTTACCTCTGACCTACTCAATCAGTCACATATAAAGCTCCCGAATCCTCGCTCTGACGCTCTTACAGTCACACACACGACTTCATCAGGTGTTTGTTCGTCTGGGATTCTGGTTTGGGTGCATTTTTCCCATTGTGGTTTTACCTCTGACTAAAATAACTGGTTTAATTGAGCAGCAGATCATAACATGAACTTTTGATTTGAGGTTCAGATCGCTGTAAAAGATCACATTATATCTGAACATGTTTTTTTTAAAGAAAGTAATCCTTTTATTCGTCAAGGACGCATTAAATTGATCAAAAGTGACAGTAAAGACATTTATAATGTCACAAAAGATTTCTATTTCAAATAAATGCTGTTCTTTTGAACTTTCTATTCATCTGTGAACCCTGAAAAATAAAATGCATCACAGTTTCCACAAAAATATTGTGCAGCACGACTGTTTTCAGCATTGATAATAATCAGAAATGTTTCTCGAGCAGCAAATCAGCATATTAGAATGATTTCTGAAGATCATGTGACACTGAAGACTGCAGTAATGATGCTGAAAATACAGCTTTGATCACAGAAATACATTACATTTTAACAGATATTCACTTAGATAACTGATATTTCACATTCTAATAATATTTCGTTATTTTTACTCTAGTTTTGATCAAATAAATGCGGCCTCAGTGAGCAGAAGAGACTCAAAAACTTAAAAAATCTCACCAATCTCAGACATTTAGAATTCCTGTTAACCTCTTATCTAGGGTTGGGTACCGAAACCCGGTACCAATATGGCGCCAGTATCTATGTAACCGGTATGTACTAGAACCGAATCAGAACGCAGATTTCGGTGCCATGCCTGAGCGAGAACCATTTTAAAAGTATTGATTTGGCACCGGTATCGAAAAAAAAAAAAACGATACCCAACCCTACTCTTATTTCCCGCTGGGTAACATCTCGCTTCTCAGCATCACGCATTTAGGTGAAGTTTCTGAGAGAAAGATCCTTTCACAATGCGCTCGACACACACTGCAGTGTTTTCTGAAAATAACAAATTTATATAATAAAATATAGGTAGAAGTTATTATTATTTTTTTTTTTTTGAGAATTAGCATTTCCCTTGACATCAGCGCCTCACACTCCATCCCAGTAGGTGGCGGAATATGCACCAAAAGCTGGTTTGCCAACCGCCGTGGTAGTAGAGGCGGTGCAACTATAACGACATGTGAATAATCCCGCCCACTCTAAAGCGGTACTGAACTGCAGTGGAAACGCAAACCGTGCCGAGCCGAGTCGTACCACGCAGTGGAAAAGCAGTTGTCATGGTAACAGTCACAATAAATGATGAGTGCATTGAACTTTATTTGAACTGCAGGATTTACTGTAAAAATAGTTCTGAAGATTCAGGCTGTTTTGTACAGTCAACATATATGTAAAGAATAATGTTCAGTCAGCTGCTCATTATGATACTCGCTTTCTATCCAGTGCTGATATTGGTTTATGAACTAAATCTGTTAAAAATAATTTGTAATTAATTGAAATAAAATAAAATATAAATATTAGATGAACTTTAAAAAAACTTAAACAAAAATTTGAAATATTTTAAACTGAAATAAATTAAGTTGAAGTACTAAAAAGTCAATTGCAATAAATACAATAAAAAAAATAATAAATGACAAAAGCACATAAAAAAAAAAAAGAAAACTGAAAATACAAAAAAAGCTAGTTCAAAATATTAATATATACTATAACAGTATATAAATAATACTAAAATAACACGGCTTGTCTCATCCTGAAGGGGTTTATTTTGTCATGCAGTGTTGATATTGTCATATGAACTAAAACTATTAAAAATAATTTTCATTAATTGAAATATAATAAATTAAATAATTATAATTAAAAATATAAATATTAGATTAAAAACTAAAACTAATAAAAATCTAAACTTAGAAAAACGTAAAATAATTTACACTGAAATAAAATAAGTTGAATTACTAAAATTACAATAAAAATTGGCTACTGAACTGTGTATTGTATAGAAAATCATGATGTAAATCTTCATGCGTTGTAGTTGGAGCTGACAATCTGTGAATGTGTCTGTATCACTCCGCTGCAGTGTTCATGGTGTGATGATGCTCTTCATCAGCGCTGCTCGTCTTCACAGGACGCTCTGAAGCCGGTGTTCACTGTGGCCAGCGTCGCCAGCAGCAGCAGCGCTCCACCCACCGTCAGCGGGAACGGAGCCAACGGCACACTGCTGAAGAGCGGAGGACTCATGCAGCTGCCCGCAGGATTCACCTTCATGTCAGGTGTGTGTGTGTGAGTGTGTGTGAGTGTGTGCGTGAGTGTGTGTGTGAGTGTATGTGTGTGTCACACAGAATGGAGTGTATTGAAAATCCAAAAATGCACAAAGTTTCCTGTGAGGGGTAGGTTTAGGGGTAGGGTTGGTGTAGGGCAATAGAATATACGGTCTGTACAGTATAAAAACCATTACGCCTATGGAGAGTCCCCACAAGGATAGCTGACCAGACATGTGTGGTTTACTTGACAAGAATTAAGAAGAAGGATTTAAAAAAAGTTTATATTCACAATTTCTATATATATATTTTTTTTAATGTTTTAGCCCTCGGTATATATATCCCAGTTTTCCTGATACTTAAAAGACAGAGACGCGTCGAGAGAGTTAAAGTTAATGCTCGTTTTGTCTTATTTTAAATAATTTTGAGTCGTCTTGGTGTCACTAGGTCAGAGGATGTTGCTCATGAGCTGCATCTTCATCATCATCATCATCATCATCATCACACATGAAGTATTGGGACTATCATGCTCTTCAGGAGACAAGCACTTCGTGATATCAATCTGAATAACAATAAGCTCTTACTGTGTATTGTGTACTGAATATTCAGAGTCACGTGATGAGAACGAGCGCAGCTGTGAGACGTGAGCAGGATCCGTCTGATCGGCCGTACAACTCCAGGAGTCTCTCCTGCTTCACCAGGGCTGCATTTATTAGATCAAAAATACAGTAAAAATAATGAAATATTATTAGAATGTAAAACAGCTGTTTTCTATGTGAATATCTGTTAAACTGTAATGTATTTCTGTGATGCGCAGCTGTATTTTCAGCATCATTACTCCAGTCTTCAGTGTCACATGATCTTCAGAAATCATTCTAATATGCTGATTTATTAGAAACATTTCTGATTATTATCAATGTTGAAAACATTAATGTTTTTGTGGAAACTGATACATTTTATTTTTCAGGATTCACAGATGAATAGAAAGTTCAAAAGAACACAGCATTTATCTTTAGTCACATTATAAATGTCTTTACTGTCACTTTTGATCAATCTAATGCGTCCTTGATGAAAAAAAGTATTACTTTCTTTAAAACAAAAGCATTGTGCGTTTGAAATAAACATGGTAACCAGTGTCGGGGAAAGTTACTTTTAAAAGTAATGCATTACAATGTTGCGTTACTTCCTAAAAAAGTAACTAATTACGTTACTTAGTTACTTTTTATTGAAAGTAATGCGTTACGTTACTTTTGCGTTACTTTTTAAATCTGGGCTGGGCTTGCTTGTTTGCTTTTAATATAAAAAGTTATATTTTTGGCAAATATAAAAAACTTTCACACCAAAAGCCTCAGGCTGAAGGAAATGTAAAATTAAATCTGTTTTTTTTTGTGAGTGAGATGAATTAAAGCATGTTCACATTTATTTTAGAACTACAGTAACATCATCTGATTTCCGTCACCATGGCAACACCAGAGCTGTCAATCAATAAATGGGAAACAAAGTAACCGGCGTTACTTAATTTGAAAAAGTAACTCAGATATTCTCTTGTAAATTAAAAAGTAATGCGTTACTTTACTAGTTACTTGAAAAAAGTAATCTGATTACGTAACTCGTGTTACTTGTAATGCGTTACCCACAACACTGATGGTAACAGCTGCATAATGCTGCAGAATCAGACCCGGCTCGTGCTCTCTGTGTATTGTCCTCAGTGTGTTTGCTCTGTGTGTGTCTCCAGGCTCTCCGTTTGCTCCCGGGACTCCTGCGATTCCTCTCGGTCAGAGCATCACAGCGTCCTCGTCACCGCAGGGTCAGCAGGCCGTGTTCCGTCTGCCGGCCACCGTCTCGCTCACCGGTGCGTCTCCAGCACACCCTCACTAGTGCACACTCGGACACTAGCGTGCTTCATTCAGTGCTGCTTAGTTCAGCTTTTCACAGACTAGAGGTTCCTGTTGTTTTCTGCGCTGATCGTCACAGATCTCGCATTTCCACCCACATATTTTCATGCAAATTTTGGCATATTGCATAAACAACACCGATATGCAAAATGCACGTGAAATCTTAAAATGTGCATTAAAAACAGAATTTTTTTATTTGGTAAGAAACCATGCATTATGCACTATGATGGAAAGCACATTTACTGAATAAATTACTGATGCACAACAAAAAAATTGATAAAATAAATCAAACAAATAAAAATGAATGAAAACTATATAGACATATTAAAATTAAAAAAATTATAGAAATGACAATATAACAAAATTACTAAAACTTTAAAATTAAAATGAAATTCAATATATTAACAAAAACTATAATAGTAACTCAATACTAAAATAAAACTGATGCAAACCATGATAAATGTTTTATATATTTGAGTCATTTATTGTGAACCAGAATTATTTTAGTATAATTGAGTTAATATTATACAGTTTTCGTTGATATTTTGAAGTAGTTTATATTTTTATATTTTCTGTTTTCATTTGAATTTTAGTTAAAGTTTTAGTAATTTCTTTGTCATTTTTATAAGCTTTTTAAAAATATGTTGATATAGTTTTTAACTCATTTTTATTTCAGTTTTAGTTATTTTAGCACATCAAGTTAAACTAAAAGGAAAAGAGAAATGCTGCCTTGGAAACTTTTTATTTTATTTCAAGTAACAAAATGTTCTCAGTTTTAGTAACAGCACTGTTTCGAGCACATAGTTCACTCACACATACACTTTGATCAGTATCACATTCACTGGCACTGATGATTAGGTTGTGTGTGTGTGTGTGTGAGAGTGTGTGTGTGTGTGTGTGTGTGTGTCTGTGTGTGTGTGTGTGTGTGTGTGTGTGCGTGAGTGTGTGCGTGTGTGTGTGTGTCAGGTGGAGCCATGCCGCAGCAGCTCCAGTCCAGCTCCATCAGCACCAGCTCCAGCAGTCCGGAGATCTCTCAGAGCAGCACAGCCACCACAGGTGCAGCCAAACACACACAACACTCACATGCTGCTGCAGCTTTCACTCCCAGTTTACAGATGCTTTTTATTTTTAGATTTTCTGCTTTAGTTAAAGATTTTTTGCATTTTCATTTATTTATTTTTTTAAATAATATTATATGTCTATATAGTTTTTATTCATTTTTATTTGAGTTTTAGTTTGTTTTATTTTCTGCTTTAGTTAAAGTTTTAGTAATTTTGTTGTGCATTTTTGTCATTTTTTAAAAATGTCTATATTTTTTATAAATTTGTATTTGTTTTTATTTTATTTTCTGCTTTAGTTAAAGTTTTAGTTATTTTGTTGTATATTTTTGTCATTTTTATTTATTACTATTATTTAAATATGTCTATAGTTTTTATAAATTTTTAAGTTGTAGTTTTTTTTATTTTAGGTACTTCAAGGTAAACTAAATGAAAAAGTCTCGGTTACGTATGGTAACCCTCGTTCCCTGAAGGAGGGAACGGAGACATCACGTCGGATGACCAACGAATTGGGATCTCGCTTAGAGAGACCAATTAACTTCGAGTGTAAACTAAACGAGCCAATGCACATTGGCATGCGATTATTGCATCCAGCTGCTGCTGATCACAGCGTGAGTATAAGTAGGCAGCAGATGCAGCGCATATTCAGGTTTTCGCTGAGGAGCCGAGCCGGTGACCCGGCTGCTCAGCGGTGGTACAGGAGCTGTGGCGACGGGACGTGACGTCTCCGTTCCCTCCTTCAGGGAACGAGGGTTACATACGTAACCGAGACGTTCCCTTTCAGTCGGTCACTCTCGACGTCACGTCGGAGACCGACGAATTGGGATCCCTAACAAAGGGCCACAGGTACTGCCCCTTCCAGTGTCCTGTGGAAGCCACCTGGCCCCCACTCAGTAAGACTGTATAACACTGGGAAAACGTACCCGTTCTACTTGGGACAGGGACGTTACGGAAGCTCCAACCTTCCCGAAGGAGGTTTCGGAAGCAAATACACATATGAACATTTCTTAGGTGCATATGGAAGATTGGAGGTGATTGTAACCCTCTTGGGATGGCAGAAGGCTGCCGGGGAAACACGGGCTCGAGGCTAAACCGTGGACTTTACACATATGGGATCCCTTATACTCACGCTGTGATCAGCGGCAGCTGGATGCAATAATCGCATGCCAATGTGCATTGGCTCGTTTAGTTTACACTCGAAGTAGATTGGTCTCTCTAAGCGAGATCCCAATTCGTCGGTCATCCGACGTGACGTCGGGAGTGACCGACTGAAAGGGAACAAGATGTTTCCTTGGCTACTAGCTGAAATACGTTTAAGTTTTCAAGTAACAAAAATGTTTTTCATGGTTTTTGGTTTAGTTTTTGTAAACTAAATCACCGCCTTGCATTATATTTGCTGTATGAAATCCAACACTCATTTCTTACTAATTATGAGCTGCTGATTCCAAAAATAGTGTCTGTTTTGCTGGAGCACTTCACACATTCTCACTAAATATGATGAATTTAGTTTCATTTTTGCTTTTGAGAATCATTTGTGCAGTGAAGAAGTCTTAATCAACAGAAAAACACCACAAACACATGATTCCTGTCTGAATCTGAGCCAATCCCGTTTACACACGTATGACATTATTTGATGCCTGATCCTGAATTACGGCCAGTGACAGAAAATGCAAACGTGATCCAGATGTTTTCTGCTTTTACTGCATCCAAACAGCCAAAGAAAATCACAGATATTGTTTAAAAAAAAGCATATTTATTTATATAAGTGTTTATGTAAATGTCTTTTACATTGAATTGAGTTTTTGAAAATATTTTTCCACTCCTTTGCAGATTGTAAGTTAAATTATACATTATGAATACCTAAAATTTCCAATTTTATTGCTTTTGTTATTTTGATAAGTGCATTAAAGCAGATACATATATATAATTTGAAACATCTTCATTCTTATTTTGTGAAAAAGCTGATATTTGTGAGCATGGTCAGATTTTTTCCGGTAAATGCTGCTGTGCTGTGTGGAGTTTCCTCTGTGTGACGCTGCCACCTGCAGCTGGATGACTGTCAGTGACGCTTCATCTGTGTCTCTCACACAGTCAGTCTCCCAGCAACCATCGTCACGTCATCAGTGCCCACCTCCATGACCGGTCACATGATGTATTCCAGCCCACACACGGTCATGTACGCATCAGCGCCCACGCTAGCAGACGGGAGCCTAGCTGTGCTCAACGCCTTCACACAGGGATCCACTGCCATGCAGGTGTCACACGCACCGACTCAGGACATGGGTGAGACACACACACAAACACCGACTCAGGACACGGGTGAGACATACACACACACACACAAACACACACACACAC